TTTTTTTTATCAAAAATTACACTATTTTGCATCAAATCTATATGTATATATATAATGCTACCCAATGTATTACATAAAGTATGCATTAACAATAATTTATAAAATAAAAAAAAGATAGTAAAAAATAAACAACAAAATAAAAGATAAAAAAATAAATCTAAAAATAATAAATAAATTAAACTAAATAAAAATAAAAAGAAAAGATAATAAATAAATCTAAAAATAATAAATCAAATAAAAAATATAAAAAATACTAAATTATTTATTAAATTAAGCCGTCATATAGCATTTTAATGTCCCTCCAATTATTCGATGTATATTAAATTAATATATTTATTATTATTTTCCATTACATGTATAATAAACCAACATAAGAAAAAGAGACATACCTTTTAATTTTCCTTTTCATGAAATTAAAGTTCACTAGATAATGAGTATATTTAATTCTTTTTCTCATAAATATTCTCATTATTGCCATTAATTTTCTAATATTAACGCCTATCTCTTGAAATTCTCTTCCTATTATTTATAGTCCATTGATTTCTTTTCAAAGCAGTATTAATAAAAATAAAAAAGAACAAGCAGTTTGCTAACTAATTAGATATGCAAGTATAGGGGCTTTATGCAATGAGAATGGCAATGTGAGGTGCATCACATCTTTAGGAAAGCAAACTACAATCCATGTTAAATGGCTTTGAGATTTTACCATTTAGAAAGAGTTCTTTATGTATTTAGGGAGATACCTAATTTGGTACATGAGTATTTTAAAAATGATTCGTTAGAAATGTGTAGAGTTAGAATCTCTAAATTAATTAGTTCTTAAGCATTGCTTATTGTAAAAATAAATTTCCACTTGATTGTTTCCTTTTTTCTTTTTTTTTTAACTAAAATTCCTAACAAAGTTCTCTATTATTATTATTATTATTGACTTGATAGTTGTAATTCATGGAATCTATTAATAAATCAATCATGTTTGCTATAATATATAATTTTTATTCTCTTGATTTTCATTTTAGGCCTGCTTATATTTTTTATGATTTTCACTATAATTTATTTTCTCCTAAAAGTTTCAACCAATTTTTTCTTATAATTTATTAGATTTATTATCAAGTCATTTTATTTTTAAAAGTAAATTACTGATTTTTATTGCTGATTATTTTCACTAAATTTTATTTTGTTTCCTAAAATTCCTAATAATTCTTTTCTTCTTAATGATTAATTGTTTGATGGTATAAATTATTGTCTTATTAGTATTCGAATTTTAGTTTTTCTTATAATTTTTAAGCTTAAATAATGTTATTTTTATCTAATTTTTTATTCATATTTCATTTTTTTTGTTTTTTCTTGGGAGTCATAGGCTTTGTTTGCTAAAGTTTCATGCAAACCCTTTTATCATAACACTTTATCTTAAAAATGGTAAGTTTTTTTAACTTTTAATTAGTTTTTTATATAATTGTATTAAATTATTAGTTAATAATTATTTTATTATTATTATTATTATTAGTTAAGTATAATA